GTAGGTACCCAAAATGTGAAGATCTCCTTGATTCAGTGTTTGTTTTTCCTTGATACTCTATGGCACCATAGGAAGATCCTGTGCACAAACTTCAAGCCAGTATAAAAGTAACTCTTAAGCAGACATCTGTGGAGTTTTTAGAGATGTAAAATGTGGGACTATTTTAATTCTACAGAAGGGAAACAAACCCAAATCACACACTAATACGCTAATTTCAGTGTTCTATGCTACTTATTCTCCAACAACATTTAGGAATAGAAAGAGCCTCTCCCCACAGCCTCCAGTACTTACCCCACTGCAGATATTCCAAAGAACCTGAGTGCTGACATTGCAGGGAATGGCTGGGAAGATGCTAATGGTGAAAGGCTCTGGAGCAGCACCACAGTCCTTATTCTTATCCTGAGTCTCTAGATGGTCTCAGGGGCAATATAGGGGAGAAGAGTGGAGGAGGATAACTGAGTGGTTATGACATCCCTGTGTCAAGCAGAAACAAGCTCCTGTTGCTGCACATGCCTTGGCAGTGTGGGAATCACATTCCCACATACCTAGACTGGGTTAACTTGTAGTTGATCTGCAAATGCACCTCATGACTGAAACAAGACTAAGACTTATTCCATCTCCCTGTTGACATCAAACTCCACATTAGTTTCAGATCTTAATTTGTACATTTTTAATGCAATTTTTATAAAACTCTGTGACTTCAGGACATGCTGCACTAGCTGCAACCATATCAGGAAGGATAAATTTCCTTTCTTGATTTGAATTGTGTAATCATCTTCACCACACAAGACACTACAGATGTTCCTGATGCTTCCATGCCAAGCAGCCTGCTACATTAAGTGCTAAAAATATCTAAAAACAAAATGAAATGCTTATCCCAGTATTGACCTACAGTAAAAAAAATGGCAAAAAGGTATTAGTTTCTACCTGTGATTTTGCATTCCCACCTTCTGTGTTTCCTTTCATGTCAGCAAATGATAGTTGTCTGAGATAATATTTTCTAGTGAAAAGCTGAAATTATCAGACCTGTCTGAGGAAAAACAGTTCTCAGCAAGTTTGCAGTTCTGTGTCTTAATTATGAGGCATTCACAGTAAAGCATTGGTTTATTAGGTGTATTTAGGTTAACAGAGTTTATTTGATATGTAGTGTCAGGAAGACTGCAGGACTGGAATTGGCACTTACCCATAGAGAGGGGTTGCAATTGGGATTGTCTATTGAATAGACAGGAAACAGCAAAGAGAATAAACCATGTTTGCTTTTAAAATCCTGGTAATGCCTCACTCTTTATCCTGTTTTCTTTCATAATCACACAGCATAGTAGAAAACAGCATTCAGTCTGACATTAGGGCTATGCTGTCCCGTTTGCTACTTCTGGACAGAGATGAATTTTCCCTTTCCCACATGTGCTTAACAGCAAACTGTGCCCATGAGAGGATGGCAGGGGGTGCTGCTGGCTGTGGCCTCACACCTGATGAGCACTGCTTTGGAGGAGTTGGCCAATGAGCCAGAGATGTCATTTTCCATGGGTTACAGTAGCTCTTCCCACTGATTATTGATCTGTGATTGTTTTCAGGAACTGCCTGATTTAGAAGATGTAGTTGTAAATGAGTTTCCCCCAGAAGATGAAATCTTTATTCAAAAGGTAACATTTTCATTAATTACAGTAATGAAATTTCCCTAAACACATTTGCAAAGGTTTTGCAAAATGAGGATAATCCAAGTTGTGAAATGCTTGTTTGGGAGATGCAATCACTTATGAATTTACAAACTAAAAGGGATGGTTTCAGCAGTTCGTATCTACATGTAAATCTTCCTTTGTTTAAATCTTTTTTATATTCTTGTCTAGCAAAAATAAAATAAAAACTTATGACCAGTAATGCAACAGTTACATAAGTTTAATTTCTTAATAGCATGTAGTGTTGTACTAAAGATTATACTGTACCAGTATTAATATGGTGCAAATTGCCTTGAGAAAAAAGAAGAGAAAAAGGAAGACAGCAAAGTTGAAAAGCACAGTTTTGATTTTCATGCTGATCATAGAATCATACTGGCCTTGCTGGAGACAGAGGCTGGTACAGGATATGCTCTCAAAAGTCTTTCCAAGATAATGCCAACTGTTCCTACAGTCAGCATAAGGCATGGAATTGATTTGCCCTTTTGATCACAGATTCATAACGGGGTTGCAAAATGTCTTGGCTAACAAAGCCTCCAATGAAAAGAAGGCAAGGAAAGAGGATCAGGGAAGGAGGATGTGTTAGCAGCTGTCCTGCTCCAAAGGCTGCTCAGTTCTCCACTGAAGCAGATGAAGATGTTGGTCAGGTTCCTCTGTTTGGAGTAAAATATTAGAACAGAGCCCACACACTGCTCTTTTTATGAACTGTTAATTAGTTTATGGTCAGTTCATTGGTGATGCCTGAGAAATTGCTAATCTAAGATTCATTCACAAAGCAGCAGAGCTTACATATTAAGCATATATTTCATATAGTTTATGAGAACAGCACATTAAAGCTGACAACTGTTACATGGATCCAGGAGATATTTACCCATCCTTTGGCTTTTATATCTAAGAATAATTTTTCAATTACATTTCTACCTTTGCAGCAGGACTATCACCCAAAGATTGAAATAATTTCTGAAGTGACAAATGACAGCAATTCCACATTAGAAGAAAACAATGAAAGCATGCTTGAGAATTCAGTAGAAGAAGTTCCAACAGCAATTTTTTCAAATGTATGTCAGAACCATAAAGATCATGAAAAGGAGCACTTAAGACCCTTTCTAAAAAGCTTATTTACAGAGCCTGATAATTCAGAGGGATACCTGGAGATCAAAGATGAAGAGGTAGCCCCTTTGAAACCCTTGATACAAGAGGTAACCACTGAGCCCAAGGATCATCTGCTGTTGTCACCAGTCTGTCACCAACCAGATGGCCCAAGCTCGTGGGAAGAGGATGGTAAGATTACAGTGACATTATTAATCCTGGAAAAAACAGGGCTGGTACAGACACATTAAGGATCTGTTCAGCTCCTGAAGGATCCTCCTAAGGATCTATTGAAGGTTGTTAGTTACAATCACCTCTACCATTTATTTATGTGGGAATACTAATAAATTAGCAATGAAAATGTTTTGTTTTTTCTACAGAGAATTTCTTACTCATTTTCATTTAAATGGTTTTAAAAAATTGGGCTCTATATTTCTTTTTTCAGTATTAAAGATCATGAGTGAGTTTCATTTGCCCTTTGCTTTTGTGCCTTTAACAGGGAATGGCAGTGACAGAGAAGCACAGGGCCTGGCTGAGGGGGAAGGATGTCCTCATAAAGCACAAGGTGACAAGGATGATGAGAGTGGATTGGATTAATCACTTGGGGAAAAAACAGACCAAATCTGGAGCACAGTGTGGAAATATTCCAAAGAATGGGGCTGGCAATGGGACCATTTGTTAAAGCTGATGTAACACTGTGATACCAAAACTCACTGCCCTTGGCTCCAAGCTCCTCGGGGCAGCTGCAGGTCACTGCTTTGGAAACTATTGTTTTGAGGTTAAATTCCAGTCTTGTGTTATTTGTGTCTTTGCATCCTTCTAGAAATGCCTTAGTTACATGTTTATGTACCAGAGTTTCATTACAGATGTAGTTTCAAGCATAATTCAGTGTGTCTGTCATTTGACTAAATAAAAATTCTATTTGTAACCACATGTATTTTCATTTTAAGTCCATACTAGTGTACATCATAGCAGATGTACTCCAATGGCAAATGGAGATTGCTTCTTGATGGAATATTTTACTGATCTAATATTCCTTAACATTATGATTGTTTATGCCTTAAAAGATAGAGAAATAGCATCCATGCACAGAAAATCTGGTTTTACCTTTTAGGGCATCTGTAATGAAACATACACTTATATCTGCTGCTTTTATTGTTTTTCATTGAGATGTGTCTCAGGATCTGTATTTTGAATATAGCCAAGTTTAGGTTAATGTCTTTTTTCATATTTCTATACATCTGCAATAATTTGTAATAAATAGAATTTAACAGTTGTTTTAGATGTGCACATTTAAAGAAATAAAGTATCACTGTGGGCTTGTTGAAAAGATGTATTTCCTATCACCTGGGCTTAGGTGCCATCTGGTGGCAAGAGAACCAGACCTCACAGTAACACAAAATTGTGAAAGCCCTCAGAGAGAACACAATTGCTTTGAATTTCATCCATTTTCCCCCTACATGAGTTAAAACATGCTGCCAAAGCCTTGGCCTCCAGGACAGGGTGGGGGTGAGCCAAGGAACTGTGGAGCTCAGGAACAGGGTTATCTGAAAGCACCTGAGCTGGAATCTGCTCTTCAGAAAGCTGCAAATGCTGCCACCAACCTGTATGAGCTCCATCCTAAAATGTAGCTGCTTCCTTTTCTGACAGAAAGCTGGATAAGGACTATTTTAGGACTTTGGATTTTGCATTTTCCATGCTGTGTTTGGTGCCTGTCCTGGTATCCACTTACTACACTAAAAACAAGTAAGCAGAAAGGATCACATTATGTTTGCAAACAAAAGGTTTAAAAAAATAATTCCAAGAGTGAAGTTTGAACTCTGTTATCACTGAAAGCAAGAAAAATAGAAAAATGAGGGAAAAAAGAGCAGCAAATAGTTTCAAGAAGCATAGATTCTTTTACTGTGATCCTGATTTTACCAGCTATACCCACACTGAGTGGTATTTTAGTTTGAAGAATTCAGCAGCTTTCCAAGCTGTGTTTACTTGGCCACATTTTAGATGGGACATTTTAGATTTAGTTCACACAGTGACCACAACCCACCCGTGGGCCCTCACAAGGGAGTCTGAATGCTTAGAAGCAATCTTCACTTGTCACTGAGGACCTGGGAAGGAGAAAGGGAATAAGGGACAAACGAAAGGAGTGAGAGAAATGCCAAAGCAGGACTAAATGAGAAAAATGAAACATGTTTAATTAGTGTCTTCTGTAAAACTTTACAAATGTACAGCATAGTGCAAAAACGCAGTCTCAGCACATCACCTTCAAGTGAAATTAACAGTGTAAAAAGCCAAGGAACACAAGCTTCCTTCTGCACAGGAATGGCCCCCGAGTGCTCTTCCTGGAGGTTCCTCTCTCACCATCAAGCTCCAATCTCATGTTTATAGTAGAGCAAAAGCCTAAAGAAAACCCCTGGAACCCTCCTGAGAGGCTGCTCCCCACGAGCACAGGCTGGAGCCTGAGACAGAGCCAGGGCCCAGCTGCACCTGCCTGTGCTCACAGGGCTCATTTCTCAACCCCAACCAGACCATCCCGTCAGACACGAGCTGTGCCCAGCCTCAAGCACGTGACAGGCTCCAGAGAAACACAGGAAAACTACTCAGGAGCTGGAAGTCAAGCATGTGCTTAAATAACTTGTTGCATCAATACATTCAGTGTTAACATGACAGCAGCCTGGAGTGTGGAAGCTCAGAGAAGGGTGTAAATCTTGAACGTACACTGCCAGGGTCAGGAGACACCAGGCAGTTTTCAATTACCTATGAGAAAAGAAGTGAACAGAGTGCAACTCAATGACTTTCCATCACTGGAAAGGGCAAAATAGGGTGGAAATGGGCTGATCTAGGTGAAATTTCTAAGCACAAATCTGTCAAAAAGAAAAACCTTGTCCAGGATACACTCAAGCACATCATCTAAATTCCAGTCCAGTGGGGGCTGCTGGAATTTTCCCTTAGTCCTGAACACAAACAGTGGCCAGGATTAATTCAGGAGCTCTCACAACCTCACTCCTGCACAGACCACACCACCAAGGCAGTGACAGAGCTCCCAGCACAGGACTCAGCTGGGCAAAAATGTGCTCAAAAGTGAATGTTTCTGAACTAACACATTTGTTCACACAGTGATAAATGGATGGAGGAAAGGGCTGTGACAGGAAGGTCTATTTTAAAAGTGCTCATCTTATTGAGGAGATTTTGAGCCTGCACTCATCTGAGTGATTAGCTACACTTTGGGGTGGATGCTGCTTGCCCACAATGCTGAGAAATGTGGTTCATAACCAAGAATTGTCATGGCAATGAAGGCAGGCCAAGCATTTTTTCAGATAATACTGGCACAGCTTAAACCTCCCTGTCTAAGCCCTGAGGAGGCCTGAGTTAATTGAATTTCCTGGGTCTGTCCTACTGCATTTGGGTAACCTTCCTAAGGAAAAGCAACTCAGGGAGAAGATACTGAGATAAATAATACGTTCTCATTAGAACTACAGCATAAAAAACAAAGCTGTGCTTTGTTGAGAAACTCAGTTATCAGAAACCACATGGATGGGGAAGGTTAGCTCAGCCTTTGAGGCTGGTCTCAGATGCACAAAGGACAGAAGAAAAGTTTGTGAGACATGGTGGACTAACCATTCTGCCTCTCTCCTACACTGAGCAGCTGAGAGTCCATCTAAAAAGGGGATCCAATAAATTAAACTGTTTAATCAGATCTTACACATCAATAAATCAACAGGCACATCTTCAGGGAAAATAGAACAGGTCAAAGCCAAGGGAAAAAAACCCATTGGACTGGACATGAAATACTTAGCCAGCACCAAAACCCAGAGTGCACTCCCTCAGCCCTCTCTGCACATGGAAAATTGTGTGTGCAGAAAAGTCTATCCCTTTTCTAAGTATGGAGTGCCCTGCCTATATGTAAGAGAAAATGAATTTGGGGCAAAACAAATCCCAAACAACAAAACTCTCAACTCACCATGGGATGTTTTGTGGCCTGTGATGATCTGTAGCTCCCCTAGGAGCCAGAGGCACATTCCTGGTGGGGTCACTCAGAAAACAAGCTTCTACATACCCCAAGAGATCTTTTTCCTACTCACCCTAGGAGGAACAGGTGCATCCCATAAAACCCAGAAAATGGTTAAAAAATCTTTTTAGAGCATTGGACTGGCATGTAGAACTATTTTCTTATTCAATTACCAGCACCAACAAGGGTCAGGCATTTTAGCTAATCTGTGCTAATCTAACAGTTTGCCATTGCAGGCACTAGTCAGGATCACTATTTTATGAAGTCTCAGGACTTTCAAGCTACTCTTCACTTAAATTTTATTAAAAGATTTGAAATTTCTAAAGTATTTTCAAGGAAAAAAAATCCTGGCAAGTTCTCACTCCACCTCGGAGCAAGCACCAGAAGTAGCATTTTGTTTTAAAAAACACTGAAATCCAGGTGCAGGGAGGGTAATGCAACAGCTACTGACCATTTCCACCTACTAAAAAAAAAAAAAAAAAGAAAAGTGCACAAAAAGAAACTCTATTGCAGGTTTCTGAGTCAGTTTTGTTTCTTCACATTCAAACCTGTGGATGCTTGGATGGGAGGGAGAGAGGTTTTGTTTCTTGGGAGCTAAATCACTGGCTGTTGTCCGTGGAAGAACTCAGGTTTAGAGGGATATCCCCTTGGACACCCACAGAGGACATGTAGGAAGCTGTATTTTCAGAAGGAACATAAAGTGATGAATTTTCAGGCAAGCTGATGAGGTCGTTCCCAAAGATGGACTGACGGTCGAGGAGGAACTGCTGGGCACTTTCAAGGATGACATCTTTCCCTAGGAATAGACAGCAGAAAATTCAGCTTTTGGAAGGCAGGTTGCCTAGTTTTACATATGTAGAACTGAAAAGTGACAAATCCCAACGGCAGCAGCAACTGAGGAGCCTCACTCCAGCAAAATTGCTTGGAAATACCTGAGTTGAACTTGGACTCACTCAAAAGCCCATTAAAATCAAGGGGATTCTCTGCACGTCACCAGGTGGGTTCTGCCTGAAAGCTGAGATGCCTCACAAGTGAAAGAGGGACTGAATGTTGGAGACACTGAGAAGAGGATGAGAGCAGCTGCTCTCCTTCACTCAAGATGTGTCTTTCTCCCTCTTTGTGGAAAGGCTTTGCAAACAGGGGATGCTCAAGGACTCTCTTCAGTGTACCTGGGCTTTTAATGCCTTTGAGGTACTCGTGAAAGAGGCTGAGGCTGCAAGTCCTTGAAGGACACACAATGAATCAAAACTGGGGCAGGTTCAGGTGGCCACAGCACCAAACTGGGGCTCACAAGAGCTTCTCTTTCAGGTCTGTCACAGCTGAACACACATGAACATACATCATGATTCCACAGCCAGGGCAACACTCCTGGATTCATGTCTAAGGTCAATAACACACTTCATCAGTCAGCAAGTGGATCAGCTGGACTGTTCCCTTGAGGTCTGCTAACAGGTCTGGAGAAAGGGACACACAGCCTGTGCCTCTGGCTGCCAGCAGCTACTGGGGCACCTCCTCTGCAGCAGGAACCAGAGGAACCCCAAGATTGCACCAGCTCTTACCACATCTACCCACTGAGATCACCACATTGCTCTGAGGTGGCAATGAACAGGCAGGGAAAACACTGTCAGACATGATGGGAACCCAGTGCAAAACCAGTTCAATTCCATTTACACTTCAGTTTATCCCCCACCCTTTTCCCACTGCTCAAGAACTGGCTTAGCAGCTGCTGTGGGAACACTGCTGACTGACAGTCATGAAAGTAAAATGACAGATGTGGTTTGGTCCTTCAAATGGCCAACTGTCCATGCTGGACATCCTCTGTGGCTGCCTGAACTGCATCCTACTGCCAGGTCCACGGAGCTGCTGGTGCTCTTACCTGGGCAGGTGCTGTTCAATGGTGGGTTGAACACTTTTGGGGGCAGCTCAGTTGCACTCTTCTCCAGATCCACTGTGAGTCGCTGCATCTTGATGCAAAAATATAAACTACAATGTACAATTATACAAAGACAGGGGAGCTTGTTAGAACTAGGCCATGCGTGACCCCGGTGCTTCACCCCACTGCACAACACCCACAGGAACACACGAACACAAGCCATCCTCCCTGCCCAGCCTCTCCCCCAGCCTCAGTGCCTTCACTAGAACAGCCACACCACATGCCCAGGGCAGATCTGCCCCAAGGACAGGGCTGTGGGAGGTGCAATCCCCTTGTCAGCATTGGATAAAACTGTGTGAAGCTCATGTCACATGAGGGGCCAGGCTGCTGTCACTGTGGCTGCCATACAAAGCAAACCCACAGTGACAGCAGCCAGTACAAAGGGGAAAGAGATTTTCTTTCCATTTTCCTATGACTGTCTTTAAAGTGAAACTGGTTTTTGCTGACACAGTGCTCTAGCACAGAGCTCCTGCACATATTGCTTCCACACTTCTCCATGCTCATGACTGTCTGTAGGACAAGCAAGAGCTCCTGGGAAATTTAGTGGGCTCAAGGACTGAACTATTGAACATTACAGCCTCCTTTCCTGGCCTTTTATTGCAATTCTTTTTAAAAGGTTATAGCCCTTGCTTCCAAGACTTGCTAATCAATATTAACTATTTCTTAGACACTCTTCTTCCTAACACTCAGGAAGTGGAATTACCTAGAAAATTCAAAATTATTAAAACTTAAAAAGGATGTTGATACCATGAAGAAGGCTTAGAAACCTTTTGCATTTCATTACTTGAGCATCTTGTAGAGATATCTGGCAGAACCATTCAAGCCTTCATCCAACTTAGTTGTCAGCAAGGGCTCTGAAAATTCACTCTCTCTCACACAGGAAAAGGAGCCCAGCCATGCAATACACTTCCAACCTTAATCCTTCTGTGAGTCTACAGTTTCATTCACTGTTTATTAAACCTGCTCTTTCTGCACTGCAGAAATGTCTGTGTAAGTATCAATTCCAAAGAAATACTGCCCAAAAAGTTCTCCTTGCTTCTTCATGCATGGGCATGCAGGAACCTCTGTTGTAATTGCATGGTATTTTACTGCTCCTGAAACATACAGGGATGGCTGCACTTTGCAAAGGCATATTTTATAAATATGTGCCACAAAGACACTTTATAAATCTATGGTATTAGTAGGATGTGGCATTCTCACTAAGAGAAAGTTTAGAGCAGCCAGTTGCAATTAAAGGCTCCAGGACACCAACAGTCACAGGTTGTCCCCAGACAAAGCCTGGCTGAGTGGGAAAAACAGGTCAAGAGTATAATACAGCACTGCCATGCTGCTCCCAGGAGATGCCTACGTGCTGTGCTTTGGCTCACTCTCCCCTCTGGTTATGAAATAACTTCCTCAGTGATGCACAAGCTCTGCTTCATAGTTCCATTATTATTTAGGCAAATAGATCTAGGCGAGGTGTCCCTGCAGTGGGCAGGGGCTTTGGAACAGGGTGAACATTAAGGTGATTCCACCCCAGCCATTCTGGGTTTTGTGATTGCTGTTTCATAGCTCAGAAACACACAGCTCTTACCGGGGGCAGACTGGCTTCCACTTCAGTCAAATTCCACTCGCTCAGAGATAAATTGGGATTAAAGACCTGTTGGGACAAAAACACAGTTAGGGCTGTGAAAGGTGGAATGGTTTGAGATTCCCATGCCCTGCCCTGCCCTGCCTGCTGGAGGGTGCAGCCCTGCACTGACTGCAGCTGCAGACAAAGGCTCCTGTGCTGACTGCAGGCACAGCTGGGCTGGGCTGGGGGCACTTGTGCTGAGCCAGGAGCCTGCTGCCTGCCAGGGGGGGACAGCACAGACACCCCACGCCACTGTCCTGTCACTAACCAGGGCAGCTCACACACAAATCAAAGCCCCTTTCTGCTGCTCTTGAGTCCTAGGACACTCCCAGATTCATATGACTTCTAAAAGCATTCCAGAGTTTGGTAGCAGAGGGCAGGTTACTGTTGCATCAGGGTTTTGGTGGCAATTTCTTGACAAGTCTGAGCAATTTGGGAAAAGGATCTGTTGATCTGAGGCCAGTTTTGTGATTCATTCTCACTCCTGTGACAGTTGCACAGAGAGAGAAGTGTGTCAGTAACAGGAAAACACTTCCTAATGAGAAACAAGAAACAGAAACCAACAGTGAGTGATAGAGCAAGCCATTAGAAAAGCTCTCACAGACACTTGGGAACTGCTTGAAGAGAATAAGATTGATTTTTTTTTAAATGACTTTTCACTCTGCTTATCCATGCAAGCTTACAATGTGCCTTTACCTGAAGCACCTCCTCAAGGGGCCATATATTTGACATATAGATTTTTTTCTAACATACAGTTATTTGATTATTGGCAAAAATCTTTCATATACCAACTATATGTACAACAGAGAAATAACCAAACCTTCCTATTTCTGCGTGTCTGCTTAAGAAAAAGCCACCATCAGTTTTCTAAAGAAAGATGATCTAAGAACTGATACTGATATAAATAGCTCAGGATTTAATAGAGAGGATTTTACACTGGCTACACTTCCCAGAATGTGAGGAAGAGGGGAAGAAAGGAAAAGCTAAACACAATCTAGGAATATCTAAGATGTAGAATATGCAGAAAATAAATTAACCCCCACAAAGCATTACTAAACTAGCTAGAGAGTCACATTAAACCAATTCTACATAAATGTGTCGGGTCTCATGTCTATTTTTTTACCAAATGCACTGTTTTGTGCCCCTAGAAGTTCAAATATGCATACTAAAAAGAAACAAGGGCACAATTTAAAGCTGAAATCTTATGAGCAGGTCAAAACAGAGCTGAGACTCTGCATGTGGCAGACAAAATGCCACACGAGAACAAGCAGCACGACCTGAGGAGTCACATTAAACCAATTCTACATAAATGTGTCAGGTCTCATGTCTATTTCTTTACCAAGTGCACTGTTTTGTACCCCTAGAAGTTCAAATATGCATATTAAAAAGAAAAAAAAAGGCACAATTTAAAGCTGAAATCTTACGAACAGGTCAAAACAGAGCTGTGACTCCACAAGCTGCATGTGGCAGACAAAGTGCCACACGAGAACAAGCAGCATGACCTGAATCACAGCCCAAAGGACCCTCTGTGAACTTCACAGCCCTGTTTGAGGCAGCCTTCCCAGCAACACTCACATCCAAGAGGCTGGCAGGCTCCAGGCTGTACTGCTGGCTCCTCAGCAGCAGCTGCAGCCCCTCCAGGCTCCAGTCAGTGCCCTCCAACGGGTCTGAAATGTCTGTTCTGAGAAAACACAAGGGGAAACATTGCCACAAAGGAAACTTGCAGAGGTACCTACAGAAAGCAGGACTGAGCAGCCTTCCAAAAGGATGTTCATGTTTAAATCTCATTTTGAAAATGAAGAGCGTGCTGTCAGCCTGGGTTTATGCCATAAAACTTGGTTTAATCCCAGAGTACAACTCAGCAGAGCACACAGGGGCTGGGCAGATGGTAAAACAAATGAGACAATCCCTCTCCTGGGTGACACATGGCTTGGGGATGGATAGTCTCTGCACATCTCCTCAACACTGGGAAAATTAAAGCTTTCCTTAGAAGAAATCCTTTTAGAAATGCACTTGGAACCAGAACATGCTGCATTGTCATTCTCCTTGGTCCAAGATGCCTGAATTACTGTTAATTAATGCTTTTGAAAGAAGTGACTTTTAGCTGCAGGCTGCATTTACTAGAGACATTCAGCTAAATGAGCAACAGTGAGGCCCTGCTGTGATTGAACCCCCCAAAAGTTATAAAAATTTTCTCTTAAAATCAGGTCTTTAAAAAAGGGATTATTTTTCTTCTAGTAGTATGTCTTTAAGCATCCAGTGGGTTCAGAGGGAGGACTTTTGATTCTCTGTAAGGATTTAAAGGAAAGTGGAAGCTTTTCTGGTAACCCTATTGAGTGTTTTGGGTTCCCCTCCTTACACTGCTGCAGTTGCTATCAAGAATGAGCTGCAGTTAAGTTCCCCATCATCCACCCAGCTGCACCTTCTGCTGGACACTCCCCATGACAGGAGTGCTGTTGGGATTTCAGTCTCAGAGCACAGCCCCAGAAGTGGCACTGGCATCACCCTGGGGCTGAGCCTGATGTCCCAGTGCCAGTCCCCTGGGCAGGGCTGTAGCACAGTGCAGGGCAGGCCTGCACACAGACACAGATGCTGCTCTGGGCTCCAGCTTTCACTCGGACCTTGGGCAAATCCCTCTCAATGCAAAAAGCCTCTTCCTGCTCCCATAGTTCTGCACATTCTCTGACAGCTCTTCCTCTGCTGGCTCCTTCAAGCAAGTGATTCACATGCCCCCTACCTCCGTGAACTGTCCCCTGGGATTCAGGGGTCCTCTGCAGGTGCCACAGGTAGAGGATGGAGCTCCCCAGGCTTGGTGCTTGCAGTGACCCTCCCTCCCCACCCTGGGCATGGGAGGAGAGGCCCATGAGCAGGCAGGGCCCCAGCTCTCCCTGCTCACCTCACCTGTCCAGCAGGGCCCTCCTGCCTCTCCTCTCGGGTGCCTGGGAGGTCCCAGGTGGGGCTGCACCACAGCTGCCCTTGCCCTCCAGGACAGACTGAACCATGGCCACGGGCAGCACCGGGGGCTCGGCGCAGGCGCGGCAGCCGGGCAGGGGCACCTCGGGCTCTGTGCTGCCCTTCACTCCAGGGCTCACTGGCTCTTCCTTGATCAGCATGAGGCACTTCTCCCTGCAGCAGAGACAAGGCTGAGCACCACACACCCGTGCTCTGCAAAGGCCTCGTGCTACTGGGAAGGGCAGCAGCAGGAGGCCTTGCTCCCACTTCCCACCAAACTGACACAGAAGGTCTTTCCATTTCCTCAGATGGGCAAAAGAAGGCAGCTTTTCTTTTCAGCAAGCTCCAGAAACCTGCTCAGCTGGAATATCTGCAGTCACTTCATCAGTCACAGCTATAATGAATTTGTCCCATTCAATGGTTTTGCAAATACGGAAAATAAATTTCTATGCACTGATCATTTCTTGGGGGAGTGTTAGGGACAGGTTAAAGGGACACTGGGCTAAAGAGATTCCCTGAAAAAGAAAAGTCTCCACTTTAGAGATAAGAATGGGATCAGTAAGACCATCCCATGCAGGAGTTAGGATTGAATCAGCAAGCACTCTAGAGATCCCAATGACACAGGTCAGGATCCTGTGGCCCTGCAGGACTTGAACAGAAGCTGTTAAGATCTGACAGTCATAGTCAGATGTTTTGCTTGGTTGGAGGCAGAGGTTTGCCTTTTCCAATGGGAGAGGCACCCCACATTATTTCCAGATGGACAAATGACAATGAAGTTTTGATTAGAAGCATTTTGTGTGTAAAAACCTGCTCTGTGTTACTCGTAGGAGATTTTAGAGCTCCCTATGAAGCTGCACAGCTGGAGCCAAAGTGACAAAGGCACAGAGATAACAGGGATGGTTTGTGACACTACAGAGCTTCCCTCAACATTCCTTTCAGGTCATCTTCTCATCTCGTGGGGCCTAAATTCCCACCAGAAGCACAGCTGATTTAGGAGTTGCCACACCTGACCTGACTGGGGCCATGGCTGGCTCAGATGCTAAAGTTGTGCAGCCACAGAACAGATCAGAAGCCACCAGATGGCACTCAGTAATTAGTAGAAATAAGCAACTTAACTTGAAGGTTATATTAAAGATTTTCTGCTTTAGAAATGGCTTCCAGGTTTGGTTGTTTTTTGTTTTTTTTTAATCTGAAGCTCTTTACATGCTTCTATTTAATTTTATGGCTATGGTTTCAATTATGCAACAGATTTACAGGCAATTTCTAGAGTATAACTGCCTTGCCTCTATGCCTGAGAAACTGTTTCCATGATTCATCTGTCTACTTACTTTCCACTGACATAGCTTTAGCTGTTCTGCTGCTAGCCCTAAATACACTGCATGTCTGTGGCAGGAAGAGATAAGCATTAAAATACCTCTGCATTCAGTTCTTAAGTTACTGGGGCCTTTTCACAGAAAAGTTGTCAAACATCGGAAGTTGTTGTGATGCAACCTTTCTGTTCTCATTAGCTGTTAGATGCACAATTTGATTGCTTCTTCTTTGCCAAAGCCAAAAGGAAACCCTCCTTTCTCTCTCTCAACAAACCCAACAAGTGTCAGTATCTCATTATTTGATTAAGTCTGAGACTGTCCCTGTCTTGGGACTTAGGACTAAAGAAACATGGTATATTTCTCCAAGTGGGGAGTGGAAGTTCTCAGCATGAAACTCAGGACTTTGTTTTGAAAGTTATGCTGTTATTACCCCCCTCTAATTCTGAAAATCTGACCCACTTTGCAAACTGGAAAGAAGTATTCCATCCCATATCTCTATAGAGATTTGTAATCAGACAGAAACTTTGGTAGAATTACAGCCCTAAAAAACTCTTGAGAAGAGTTGCATAAGCATGTTTATACCCAACTCTCCCTATTTTTAATCACAAACATGTTTACCTGTCATTTTCAGGAGGGGATTGCATATTCATGATGTTGGATGGTGATGCTTCAGTAACATCAGATATGATGGGTCCTCCAGCAATTGCAGGGCTGTTTAAGCAAGAGGCAGGCTCTGTCGATGGCTAAGAGGAAAGCAAAAGCCATATACATTTATCCTTCTGACCCCAACACAGGTCTAAGGCCCTATCTGAGATAGCTAGGGTTTATTCACTGTGATTTTGAGTCCCCCCTTTGTGGAAACCAAGAAAGATTTTACCTACTATGCAACATTATAATTTCCTCTCACTTTTCCTCCAACCGCACAGAGGTACAGGTGTGAAATGAACCCTGTGAAGTGTCAGCAACCAAGAGGTTTTACCATGTCTGACATTTTGCCTAGACTGCTCAGCTTCCTCTGGAGGGAAAGATCCAACACAGCCCAACAGGGCTGTATGAGCCTCTCATGCCAGCTCACATATTTTAACTACATGACAGAAGTGTCTGGTGTCTGGCCTGATGATGGTGGGGATCCCTCAGAGGCTACAGAAATCCCACTTTTAGAACTCACTTCTTCCTCTCTTCCCTCAAGGTGAACCAGGCTGGGGTAACAACATGGAGAGTTCAGAAAAAGTGTCTGGTGTCTGCTCTGATGATGGTGGGGATCCCTCAGAGGCTACAAAAATCCCACTTTTATTCCCTCAAAGTGAACAAGGCTGGAGAACCAACATGGACAGTTCAATGTGCAGGGTCTGCCTTTCCCCACAAAGCCCATGGCCTCCCTCATGAAGGCATCCATAAAACTGGGGAGCTGAAGGAGTTTTAAATGTCACTCAGCTTAGCAAACCTCGTTTCTTCTTCACTGCCAAACTCTTTACTCCACAATCTCCATTATTGCTGCAAACATTCCCCCCTGCCAAAGCCACCCCAGAGAGGCCAGAGGCTGAACCCACCGACTGTATGAAGTAGGGGTCATGGAGGGGGTCTGGGGACAGATGCCGGCTGAACTTGGGCACCGGTGCAGCCGAGATCCCGTTGTCAAGCATCAGAGGTCTGTGAAGAGAAACAGTTTTGTCTTCCAGCATGTACTGACTGGCTCCTGGCTGCTCACACACAAAACATTCCTGAGGCAAGAGCTCTCCTCCCCTGTCTACTCTGGTTCTCCTCAGCTGTAAGTCTTTCTTGCCTGGTCAGAAACAGTTTTGTCTTCCAGCATGTACTGACTGGCTCCTGGCTGCTCACACACAAAACATCCCTGAGCCAAGAGCTCTTCCCCCCTGTCTAATCTAGTTCTCCTCAGTCTTTCTTGCCTGCTGTTATGGGCAAGGAAGGCCAACAACAGCTTTGGAGGAGGTCACTGTCAAAAAAGAGCATTACCCAAACAGAGAGGGGAAGGATGCAGACCTGCCCATGCTGCCCAAACCTACCCAGAGCCCCCAGGCAGCACTCTGCTCTGCACCAAGTAGCTCCAGGCTGCACACCATCCTTTTCTGCAGCCATTTAGAAGAGGCAGGAAAACACAACCGTGAAAGATGAAACACTAAGGATGCAGATATAGACACAAGAGCTGAGGTTTCTGGAAGACAGACCTTTGTGTTTCCAAGGAAGCAGGAACTCAAATTACCTTGCAAATTGCAGCTGGTTGTGTGAAGTGTAATCCCCCATCATAAGGGGGTCAATACAGTTGCTGTGCAGGTAGTTCTGTGCCCTTCTGCCCTTTTTAGCACAGTTTCTCACTAATTATTTGCCTTTTTACAAAAAAGCAGCGGTCTAAGACATTTCTTATACTGCAAAGCTTTTACAGGGAGAACACAGCCCTGACCATGAAAATTAGAGGTCAGATCTGGCATCTCATTTCTCTGCTTGCCCACTCTACTGGAGGAAAATTTCCCCAGTCATGAACCTCAGCAGCTGCTATTCTCCCCTTGAACCCTTTCCTTTGCTATTTGAAGAGTTTAGCTCTTCCAAGAGGCTCAGCAGAGGGGGTAGGCAGAGATGCACATACCCTGCTGGCTTGTACAACTTATGGGCTCCTTCATTCAATCCTGTGCTGCCTTTACAATCCTCACAAGAGGAGTCAGTCAAGAACAAGGACACTGACTTAATGAAAATTGACTCCTTTGAGCTGCTTGTGGGAGGTCTGTCTCCTTTCTCCTCAGCACGGAGAAGTTTCTAAGTTGTCAAAGCCTACAAGGTAATAAAGGTGAGAACTGGAGGCAGGTCCCTGTCCTCAGCAAATTCCATTCAACTGTCTCTTCCCCTTCTTTAAATCACAAGCACCCCAGGGCAAGAAAGGCATAGCTGCTCTCCTGAAAGGCACTAAGCTTCCTAATTCAAGTCACTCTACTCACTTGCCTTTAAGAGCCTATCTAAAGATACCCCTCAGCTAAAATTTTTCCCCACCTTCCTCTTTGTAAGGCCTGAAGGTTAACACCACCAAGACAGTGTTGGATATACACCACATTCAGTGACTGTGGGTCAAACTAAAGGTGTCTGTGGGCTGCTCCTGCTGCTGCCAAGTGGCAAAACTGGAACGTGTAGGAGCAGCAGTGGGGTCCTGCCCTTTGGCCTCCCTCTAGTTAGCACTCCCATGTCCCTCTGCGTGCTGTGTTCCCCAAATAAAGGTCACGAGCTGACACGGTGCTTCTCTACAGAGCAGTGAATGGGGCCTGTCAGCAGGTCTGACTCTGCACTTCAGCCCATTCAGCTCCCATCACCATGGAGCCCTGGTCCGGTGACCGCCCGCCCGGGCAAGCTGAGCTTGTGCTTTTACTGAGGGGGCAGCATTATGCACCCGTGAGCGTGTGCACCACACACGGGGACTTACAGCTTCCTCTTTATCCCAGGGCTGCTGGGGCTTGACTGGAGCTGGCCAAACAGAAACTGAATCAGCTGTCAGGAGAGATCAAAATCCGGTGTTAATCAGCAGAGTGATTCAGCACTCCCTGCTCTCACAGCCATTCTTGTCTCACACATTCCTCCCTCCCAACAGCACCCCAAAACAGCCATAGAATATAGGAGCCAAACTGCATGAGACATTGGAGCCTGAAACAGAAATGAGCCATCCAAGAACTCAAAACAGCCTGCCTGGTTTTCAAGGGACACAGCCAGGTGCCTGCTTTGTGCAAGGGTTCCTGGATGCATGTGCTCAGCACTTTCTCTCTTCACTTCGTGCATGAAGAACTTCAGCTGGTCCTAACAGACCTGTGAAGTGCACATGCAAACATTCCTAGGCCTGGAGTTAGACCTGGATCCATTAAAGTTTTCAGAGACATTTAGGAGAGGTGCTGTAAAATCTGGCAAAGACTTTGCAAGTGAGAGAGGCAACTCCCCATGGAGAGCCTGGATGGAAGTCTGAGCTCTTTCAGTTGAGTTTTTCAGTTCTGTGAATGTCAGTGTTGATATAACAGGACACTAAAAAGGAAGCAGAGTAGCTTTGGAGAGGAATCACTTAGCAACATATTCCCAGGTCAGCTTGAACTTAATGCTCTGCTTTGACCTCCAAACAAAGAGAGCATTATTATTATTATATATCACAGCTGGCTCTTACTCATTGCTCAATATAACAAAATAGAGTTGCATAAAAGCCTCTACAATGAAGCATGTGGCTGGTCCAGCCTCAGAGCTGGAGGAAGGCTTGATAGCCTCGTGCATTTCTGTCCAGTCCTATGACTCCATGATGCCACGTGAGGGTCAGAATGTGGGGACTGGGATGTGTGATGTGCTCAGTCATGTCAGCACCATCCAGGAATCACTGGAGAGGCCTTTTCTATACTGGTCATGCTAGATTTTAAGGGAGATGGTTTTGCAGCCTAAAAGGTTGTACAGTAATTCCTCAACTATACCAGTAATGCCAGAAAATGTAACTGTGGCTGTTAAATTCCCCCAGTGGGGCAATGGGTGCCAATTCTGCACCTGCAGCTTCCCACAGGTGCTGGCAGCAGTGGGGTTCCTCTCGTGAACAAATGGAAGAGGAAGATTTGGGAAGCCCAAAGGCATTGGTACAACCAGAACACAGCCAACAAAGGGCAATTAGTGACAGTTATGCTCTCCTGCCCAGGATTTCAACAGAAAAGTGGTTTCTAACATCAAAGGAAGGACTCACACAGAAATTAAAATCTTTTGCTTAAGGATCTGTGCTTTGTTAATGACCTGTTTCTATAGGACACATAAAAGCATCACACAACTTAAAAGAAAGAGAAAATAATTACACTGTGATATCACAGAGTGGAAATTATGGGACAAGAAAAAAAATCAGAGGAGGACATAGACCAGACAACACAAGCAAGTTTGGAGTTTATATGGTAACTACCTTGTTGATGACTTTCTGTTGCTGTGAGTGGTTCTGCCGCAGAGAAACAACTTCCCGCCAAAGAACTTCATTTTGCCTGAAAGTGACACAGACATTTTCCATGAGAACAGAAACATCAACAGCCCATGGTGCTGCCATGATGCACACTAGATTCAACTGTGCAAAGTCTGTCTCACTTCGAGGCTCTTGCAGTGTTTGGCTCTTTTCAGTGTCCCAAACAAGCTCACACAATTGCCTTCCTTTTTCTTCCTGGACCTCAAGAGAGCTATAGACCAAAGCATAGAGGAAAAACATAAAGAGAAGCCAACATTTATAGGGGAAAGTAACAAGAGGACACATGTTTTTGTGGAACATTTGGGCCAAACTCAGAATTTCAGCAAGGCCTGATTTGTGACTGAGTTATTTGGATCACCCAGACTGTCCTTCCATGGGAGCCCAGAAAGCCCAAGCTCCACAACTGCACCAGTGCTCCCAAAGACAAGACTATGAACAGAGACCCTGTGTGTTCTACCTGCTTAAAACTCATACAAGTGGTGGTTCAAATGCATGTTTGGTAGTGACTGGAGCAGACAAAAAGATGCTCCTGCATCTCAGAGCCTTGAACTAGGAGGACTGTAATGATGCTATTAGTGGGAGCCACTGATTTAACCCAGCACAGACCTGTGTCCAGCTTGCATAAAGAAAATGTATTTTCTGTATGTAAACAAAGCAGCACAGAGGGGAGCTTACAGGCTTCCTCTAACAGTCAGCCAAACTAGGTGGGATGGAGAGAGGCAGAGTTTATTTACTGTGCTGCCTTCAGCTCTGGATGCCAGCCAAGTCCATGCTGCTAAAGGTTTTGCCAGCCAATTTATCTCTAGAGTATATGGATGTACCTAAACTGTCAGGCCAGCAAAACCTATCATACAGGTGAGACTGATAAATCCTTTTGCTCTTTAGTCTTCCTAGTGTGGATGGATGCTAGAACTGGGAAGGTAAGGTCCAGAGATCTGAAGAGCACAGTAGAACAGCTTGTATAGCAAGAATCTCTGCAGTGAGCTTTCTGTACTGGTTCTGACAGAATTTTCAGCAAAGCAGCATTCCTTAATCTGACAGCTTGTACTGGAGTTATGTCCTAATTGTTCTTCGCCAGTGTAAATTTCTTAACATGGAATCAGCTTGGGATTTCTCCTCTGTCTTAGTTTATAAAAATCATATTATTTTCATCAGTTGAATGCAATTTTGCCAGATGGAGGGAAGGAACAAGCAAACCAAAATGGAGAATAAATTAAAATCAATGCCAAATCACTAATACTGGAGCTCCTTAAAAATTAAATCAAATGCAAGCCCAGAAACCCATTTCTGCAGTACCTGGATTTCACAGTGCAAACTCATGCATGTGCTAAGTGTGGGAGTCATTAAAAATTGATGCAGGATAAAAATATGCATCCATTGCAGGTCTAGAATGAAGTTTCCCAGTATGCAGTGTTACTCTTAAGGCCCAGAATGACAGTGTCATCTGGTGGTGTATGAATATCAGCTCTCACTACAAAAGAAAGGTTTTGGGTCTATTTGATTATTCAAGTGCTTTTTAAACAAAGCTCTCTGTAAAGATAAAAATTCTGAAGGCAAATAAAAACCTTTCCAAGTACATGATTTATAAAACCATATCCACTTCCTAGTCTTTTAGAGACCATGTCTGAGTCAGAAAATCCCAGAGTCTCAGACAGCTGGAGGCAGCCACATGCAGGAAGCATTGAAGCAGCATTCCTTAGTCTGACAGCTTGTACTGGAGTTATGTCCTAATTGTTCTTCGCCAGTGTAAATTTCTTAACATGGAATCAGCTTGGGATTTCTCCTCTGTCTTAGTTTATAAAAATCATATTATTTTCATCAGCTGAATGCAATTTTGCCAGATGGAGGGAGAAGCAAGCAAATCAAAATGGAGAATAAATTAAAATTAATGCCAACTCACTAATACTGGAACTCCTTAAAAATTAAATCAAATGCAAGCCCAGAAACTCATTGCTGCTGTATCTGGATTTCACAGTGCAAACTCATGCATGTGCTAAGTGTGGGAGTCATTAAAAATTGATGCAGGATAAAAATATGCATCTATTGCTGGTCTAGAATGAAGTTTCCCAGTATGCAGTGTTACTCTTAAGGCCCAGAATGACAGTGTCATCTGGTGGTGTATGAATATCAGCTCTCATTACAAAAGAAAGGTTTTGGGTCTATTTGATTATTCAAGTGCTTTTTAAACAAAGCTCTCTGTAAAGATAAAAATTCTGGAGGCAAATAAAAACCTTTCCAAGTACATGATTTATAAAACCATATCCACTTCCTAGTCTTTTAGAGACCATGTCTGAGTCAGAAAATCCCAGAGTCTCAGACAGCTGGAGGCAGCCACATGCAGGAAGCATTGCATCAGCTTGGTTTGCTCTTATCCAACAATTCTGGCCATGTCAGATGACACAGTCCCAGGGAGATGAGTCCATGGACTAAATTATACAGAAGTTCTTATGTTATATTTTATAACATACTATGTTTTTTAGGCCAGTCATAAATTTTGGAGGTCAATGATACCAGAAAAGTAATTTCTTAATAGCTGGAGTGGACTCCACCACATTTCTGCCAAGGACTCTTGTATGTGTGAGAGTTACATCTTTGTCACCACTTCCATCTGGAGGCAATAGTTATCTAAGTCCCCACGTTATGCACATATTTCCTGTCTGACCTTCTCTGTGCTTTCCTCATCCGTGAAGGGAAAACAAAGGAGACAGACAGGCTGAGCATTAATTCACATTTTGTAGGTCAGATGTGCACAGAAATCCTACATGTCTTAACAGATCTCTGGTCAGTCCCTGGCTCCACGTGCTCCCTGGGGAGGGAAGCATGCAAGGCTCTTCCTTTCAACCATTCCCCACTCCAGAGAAGCAAATGCCCATAGGAAGCAGCCTGAGTAGGATTCAACTCACTGCTTCATGTCCTGCACTTGACACTCCATGTTCTCCTGCTGACTCCTCAGTATCTGTACCTCGTATAGCAACCTGCTGAGGTCCTCCTGGCGCATCTTGGTCTCCTCACTTTTCACTACTGACACCTGAGGTGAAAGAAATCAAAGGTAGATTTTACCTGTGCAAGAAGGGCCATGGACAGAGACAGTCATTGTGGTGGCTCAGGTGCAGGACTGTCACCAGCTGAAATACCAGGACAGGCCACGTGCTAAAGAGTCTGAACTATCCATGGGGTACTACTGCAAGAGATAAATAGAGCAAAGTGCAGGACACATCTATTCATACACAGGGTCTGCTGGCAGAATTACATTCCCTGTCAGAGTGGGAACTTATTTCAAATCAGCTTGGGGGGAAAACAAAGATATTTTGAGTATCAGTGAGGAATTGATCTGGATTGATTTAATCTTTCTACTTTAACTACAGAGATACCCAATCAAGACTCATGTTTTACAGGGATGAGCCTGACCAAATGCTTCCAATTGACATACTACACTTGGATTTCCAAAAGGCTTTTATTCAAGTCCCTTTTCAGAACTTACTATGCTAATTCAGTAAGAGAACAACACTTTGGGGGTATTAATAATAGGTTAAAGACAGAAAACAGAGGGCAGGAGTAGGTCGTTTCTTGTATAAGAAAAACAGATGGCTGTTGAGGACCCTGCAGGACATATACCATATTTCTCTAGGAAAGCAGTAACAATTCAGAGGGATGGAAAGCAAGCCTGGCCCTGCAGCACTACACAAACATCTTGTGATAGAGCACAACAGAGCAGAAAAACACAGACAAAACTCTGATGCAAGCCAAGCCCTGCAAACCAAGAACCTGCAGCCTAGGTGCACATGTGTATGGGGAGGACAGGAACAAGACCAGGGTGATGCTGGAGTTATGCTGAGCAGGATCTGGCAGATGCCTGTTCCCCCCTCCCACACAGCGCCCTCACCTTCCTCTTGATGTGCTCCAGGAGGTGCTCGTGGCCCTGCAGGAAGCAGAGGTGCTGGAACTCAGTGTCGTCCCTCTCAGGCTTCACCAGCCCCCCCTGCTCGATGTTCACCACCTTCCTGAAGCCATCTGCACAGAGAGGACACGGCTGAGGGGCAACAGGCGCCAGCACTCCCTCCACCTCCCACCCTCATCACTCTTGAGGACATTTCTGATCACCCTCCACACTTTTTGAGCTGCCAGTGCTTACCCCTGGACATGTTTTTGGGTCATAACCATCAGAAACCCAGGGCATGGGAGAGCCCTGTGTACCCCACTGGCCACCCCTGCTGCAGCCTATGCCATGAAAGCCTTTCCACCACAGGCACATTGGTCTGCCAGGAGCTGAAATGCCAGCTCTTAGGGAATTCCTGTCTCAATTTGCAAGCAGCAGGGATTCAGGGGAAGGTTTTTCAAAGGCACAGACCATCAATAGGTGCCACTTCTGGAACAAAGGGTCACGTGTACATTTGGAAATCTCATTTGAGTACTTCTCTGAAGTTCTTAAAAGTTTCTAAGCTGTATTTAAGAACTGGCCTAAAATTTACAAAAATGCTACTATAGAGTGAAACAGCAAAGTTAAAACTTGACTAAGGAACTTAATTACTCACTGAAAAGATTCCAACAACTATAAGAACACTCATGTTGTTGAAGTGGCTAAAAATTACACCAAATTTAAATTACACCTTCTTTAAGGGGTAAAAATGTCTGATCAGCAAGGCAAGGTTTGCAGGGAAAAGAATTGTCTGTTACTAGTTCAGTGATATGGCTGGTGAAAGGGATAAGCTCAGGGCACAGGACCCACAAGAGCAGCACATTCTGGGGGAGGTGTCACAGTTGGTGACTGGATAAAACTCCATAAAGAATAAAATAGAAAATTAATAATAATAGGTCATCAAATCAATGCAACATAAGCAGAACACCTGGTTCTTAGCCCACATCCTGAAACGTAATCTAACAGAATTCCATGCTGGAATTTAAGGTAAACACAAGGAGATCACTACTCTGGGATCTGAGAAGCAGAACCTCTTTGACAAAAGCAATAATGCCACAACAAGTGGCACATACATGAGACCCCAAACTTTCCTCTGCACAATTCTCTCCCATGGCTCCCATATCAGTGGGGCCCACATGCCTGTGAGCTGCACTCACACATGTTCAGCTGCCGGACAAAGCTGGCCATGTTGTTGTGCTTGAAATACTTGGGCAGCACCTCTTTGGCAAAGCGGCCTTGGTCGAACACATGGAAGCTGGTGCCATTCTGCAAAGGAGAGAAGGACAAAGTCAGGGGAGCATCCCTGACCACGAGAGGTCCAGGAGGAGTCCTACAGCAGGGGAAGTCTGGTTCTCTGAATTGCCGCCTTGAAGCCAAGAGTGACAACAGCCTTCAATGACAGATGTGTTCCTTTCACAGTTCTGGTACAGTCAGGCCTCTGTGGCTGCAGGTTTGATCCTTTTCTGCTTTTTGTCACTGCTCAGTTGAGAGTCTTGGATGTGAGAAAGAAATCACTGGCTTTTGTGCCCAAACAGCTGGTAGACAGTCTGTGATCATCCCCTCTTGCATGGACTTCACAGAAAGACTCAAGTCTTCAGTTCTGCTACAGTCAGGCCTCTGTGGCTGCAGGTTTGATCCTTTTCTGCCTTTTGTCACTGCTTAGTTGTGAGAAATGTGAGAAAGAAACCACCGACTTTTGTGCCCAAACAGCTGGTAGATAGTCTGTGATCATGCCCTCTTGCATGGACTTCACAGAAAGACTCGAGTCTGAAGAAGGCCCTGAAAGTGGGAATTGCCATTATAACCCCTGCCATAGTAACCTACTTGTTCAGATCTAACTCCAGTCCATCTGCTACAGAGCACAGCAGTCCTGGAGGGAGCACTGCCTGCAGGAGAGATGGCACAAGAAACACAGCAAGGCCAGAAGCAAATCATCTCTGTAGACACGACACTTGCCCAGAAGCTCTATGCACATTTTATTGATTATTTTTAATAGTAAACAGCCACAAGGGCAACCCACAAAATGTTGACAGTCACGCTCTGCAGCCCAAGCTAGCAACACACGTGTAAATCAGATAAATCTTCCATTTCTGGGTTGCATTGCAAAGATCCATGACTTGCCAAACAAGGCAAACTGCCTGGGATTGCTGGCAGAGAAGTGCACTGCAGGCCATGTGCTTTCCCTGCCTGGCCTTCTACCTGCTGACAGCTACATCAGTGCAATGACATCAGCAGATACCAGGGACTTGCCTCAGCTGTAGGTGAGTTTGAAGCAAGAGCTAAAGTCACCAAAGCCTGCACCACGTTGGCAGGGAGGGGTCTGAGAGCAGCACAGCACAGTCATCCTGCTGTGTTCAGTGCTACTACCAGCAGACAGAGGTGTCAGCCTGGGTGGGCACTCCACAGGGGCTGGTTTGTGACACAGGACAGTGCTTTGTAAGAGCCCTCAGGCTCTGTGTGCAGGAGGAGGGTACCAGTGGTGTGAGTCCCACCTCACACCATCAGGGGGTCTGCAGCTGCCATGGTGCTCTCAGGGAAGTCTGGAAATCTCTGAAACAGGGAGTGAATCAGGGCCGTGAGATAGCTCAGTGACTAAAGAGGGGCTGGTGTGTGCCTGCAGCCAGCTGGCAAACCCTGCTGCCCTACACTGCATTTCCATCACCACATGGTGCCAGCTGTCTCTGAGCTCAGGCTCATTTGCCAGCTCTAACAATTAACACCCACTAACACGGGACCTTGGGTCAGCTGCACTTCTTGCTCCTTGCTTACTACTGCAAACACTGAACGTGACTGTGCCTCAACAGTGCTCTTGAACCATTTTTTGGGACTTCCCTATTGTTCCTTACCCTATGCAGCAGAAGCAAAGGCTGATCAAGCATTTAAGAGATTCACTGACAACCTGCATGGTGGAATTATCCTGTCTTTGAGAGTTTGCAGACAGGACAGCAGGGATCAGGCTTTCCCAACGCTGCAGACACTGCCCTGGGACCCAGCTGGTTCATTCTGCTTCCCTTGTGCTTCAGCCCCCTTACTCTGGCATACAGCTGTGTGTCCCAGGCTGGACCCACTGATGGAAAATGAGAAGCATGAGTTTTGTATACCTCAATAAGTCCTTATGGCCTCTCATGAGAGACCATTCCTTTGAATTCAGGGCCACAATGCTCACAAAAGCTGGCACACTCAGAAAGGCTCCTACAAACACAAGAAACTTTGGGGTTACTGTGTGCTCCCCGTGTCAGTTTGTTCCCACACTGCAGCTGTGCCTCGGCTGTTTTACACCATGGGAGCACAAACTCAGAGAAACTCTGGAAGTCTTCTCTGCCCAAAGCAAAACTGACTCTGCAGCACAACAATCGTGGCAGATGCTTATCTTTACTGCTTTTGACAGAACTACCAGGACAGACATGTTGTGCTCTGACAAGACAAGTGCTAGTCCAGGAATTTGCCAGTTCTCCCTTACTGCACTTCCATTTTAAAAATTAATTTAATTACCTCTTGCCCAATCTACCACAGACTCTGCTACAGAGAGGAGACTTTTCCTTTCCACTTTACAGCAGTCTTTGGTGTATATATAAACCATTACTGCATTTCCCCTCCACCTCTTCTTCATGCTAAGAAACAGTTCACAGCTCCTTATAGATCTTGTTTTCTAGAAGTACTGTTTAAACCCAGAAATCTTAGGTATGCACACAATCTCTCAGCTCCCACACCACCAACGTATAGAAGCTGAAGAATATGTAAAACATGGATGCCTGCAACAATAGGAAAATGAGACACCTAAAAGCCTTACCAAAACCTCCAAGGATGCTGTTGCAGCCAATGAGAGTTTGCAGGAAAGCAAAGCACAGTGGTGGTCAGTCAAAAATAACAGTGTTCTAAGTGTAACAGAGAGGGGACTATTTACACAGGTTAGAAAATAATTTCTAGCTTTAAAATCTTTATTTAAAACTTGGTGGTTCTCAGAGGTATGGCCATGTAATACCAGCATCAAACAACCATGGTCACAGATATCAATGCAGCTCCAATCTTGTCTCAGGTTTTAAATGAAAACTCTACTGGACACAAAGTATATATAAGAAAGGCTGCTTTAGACTTTTTTCCACCACCCTTTAAATTTGCTTGTATTATAAATTCTTGATTTTGGAGAACAATTTTATTCACACAGCTTATCTAGTAACTCCCTGCTGAAAACAAATCACATTATTTGCAGAAGTCATAGGTCAAAAGCACAATGTGGTATCAAAGTGTTTTATAAAGGGGAAAAACAATTTTATTTCTTTGATTGCACTTAGTATATTAATGCCTCTGTGACAAATAAGAAACCAAATAAAAGCAATCTATCCCTATGAATCTGTACAGACAATATATACCCACATCACCATGATCATCACACAGACTCATTGAAAAATCAAGTAAAGCTCTTCCAAAATGATTTAGGGTGCCAGTCTGAGATCTGTTTAAATTATAGGTTTGAGTCTGAGTGCTGTTTATCTGCTGCCTTCCACCTAGAGATTTGTGAGAGGCTGCTAAGAAACACACGTGAGATAATACCAAACAGCAGTGAAACTTTTTAAGGGCTTTGCACATTTCCTAGAAAATGTCAGGGAGCTGCAGACTCAAGCAAGGTGAAAAATATTTCTCTCAAAGCATGCGGAATTCTTAGAATTAGAACCTTAGACATTTTTTAGGATGTTTCAAAGTGAAACGTGTAAATATTATAATTTAAACACCCCCAAAACAGTTGCTCCTCTGAAACAGAAAAGCCACACTATTTCAGATAAATAATACCAAGTCTATCCAAAAGTGTCTGTACTTGAATCCTGTTTTTTGCGCCCTGCCAGTAACTGGGCAGCACCTGCCAAGCAGAGGGCAGCTCCTGTGCCCTGCAGCTCTGGGGCTCACACCTGGCTCTCCCTGTTGTTGCAGGCATTGGTGACACCCAACACCTGTTGCACTTACAGAACTCCAGCAGATGAGATGGTTGGTTTCAGGGTCTTCCACCAGCGTCCAGAGTTTTGTCAGGAAGGCTGGGACATTGCTGGAGTATCCATCCATCACCAGAGAGCTGGGTGAATCCTGCATAGCTTTGCAGTGTCCCAGCTAAACTGACCCCATTGCCCTGGGCGCGCCTGCTCCCCTGCACGCGCCTGCGTCCCACACAGAATGAGCCACCCAATTTTATCCCAGGCCAGTGGAAAGTAGGCAGCCAGGGAGTCACATCAGCAGTGCTGCTCACACTCTTAAAAACTCAGCACAATGGGATGGCATCACCAGCCCCAGAGAACAATACACAGAATGAAAATGCACTGCAGCCGATCCCGCAGAGCTGTGAATAAATACGCAGCGTCATGCAAAGGGAACACGTGCTGCCCACCTTATGCTGGGAGGTGGGCAAGGCACCAGAGCAAACCCACCTGCCCAGAGGCTGGGGGACACCCAGGCACAGAAATCACAGGTTTCTGAAGGCACCTGAGTTGTTAGATTGGAATTTTCTTGTGCTAAACTTTGGCTGGCATAGACGAACGAGAGCTGGGCAGACTCAGGGCTGTATATCTTCAGCAAGACTTTGAAAAGTCAAAATTGTAAGCAGGTTTAGCTGCTGTCTTATTTGTCAACAGAAATTATTTAACTCTTGCATGAGAAAAGAGGATGCTAAAAGCAACTACATAGAGAATCTATTAGACAAGATGGTATTATCATTAATATAAAAGCTTTAAATAGCTCTAAATACATGTGTGCCTTAATGCCAGGGTAGTTTCAACTCAGAAACTGCTCTTTAAATAACAAAATAAAATATAAAATCAACATTAAATTTTCCTGAGGTCCTTAGCAAAAACTTGCAAAACTCAACATTCCTGCTAAAAAATGGAACAGAGTTCTCACCTAATGCCTACAGAGTCCTTTAAGGCCAAACACTGAAAGAGTGAGGACGTGAGAAGAGACAAGATAAGTAAGTGTCATGATAAGGATAACAATGCATTAATTTTTCTTGCCATTTTCAAAGGACAACTTAGAACAGTGTACTAAGAATGTGGTATTTCCCCTAAAACCCAAATCACCATTAGGGACTGACAAAACCCAGCAAGCAACACAAAATTTATATAAGCAGGTGCTAGTCATGCCAGGTAACATCATCACACATAGAAGGCACAAGGTCAGCAGTGCCACAGCAGAGTGGAGCAGATGTTTGACACTCACTGGAAACAAGGATCAGGTTATTCCTGCTTGGACAGAGGACCCCACTCCTCTCACCTGACCCCTGAGAAGTGCCACACAGAGCTGGAAGAACAGCTGAAGCCCCTTGTCTGCATGCCTGGAAGACTCTGTGTCCATCTCGAAGATAACACACTATTCAAACAAGGATTTCTTCTGGGATGTAATGCCACGGTTCTGGCACTGGAGCAGACATTTTGCCAATTCAGTCAGGTTTAAACATGGGAAAACTTCCAAAACTGCAATTAATTCTCGAGTCCCTGTTGAGAAAAATAAAACAAGAGCATCAAAAAAGGGTCAGAGATACACATGAGGATTTAACTAACAAATCAAACTGGACTATGGAGGAGGTTTTAAAATATCAAACTTGACATTTCACCATATTTTGAATTTGAACTTTAAAAATTATGAAAATCTCTTGATCAGTTGTTTCATAGTTTTTTTCAATCAATCCTCAGAAGCTGAGTGATACTTTTCAAAAGTTAAAAATGTCATATCAAAGCTTTTTTGGGAAAAAATGGTCTTTTTCCTACAGTGAGGTTTTGCTACTCTGAGTAATAAAAATGCAAGGGAATTTTCTGGTACTGCTGCACTGGTATTCAAAAAGCTGAGACAGATTTCTCAAACTGTGGGGGAAAAACCTCTTTGCAAGCAGAAGCTCTGCAGGGAAAACAGCCTCACATATCCATTTTTTTACTGATAGTGCAACAGAAGGCCTAGAGTAGAAACCAGCAGCTTAATGACAGTGCCTTGCCTGGGATAAGATGTTGCAGTTTGGAAAAAAAACCTTTTTTGACTTTGACTCCAGTTTGCAGAAATCACACTTACAATGTCTGACACAATAAGGGAAAAGTGTATTTCAATCAACCTTTCCTGTGAGTTATAATGCAGAAGAGTGTCTGGGAAGAAGGTTCAGAGCATCAGATCATTACCTAACTTTTCCTTTTGCCTTCTTCCAAAATTGTTGCACCTCTCTTCTAGATTTCTGCACAAACTAAACTACCACCATGACATGTTTTTTTCAGCCCTCTCATAACCAAGCAAGAGATTTTTAAAAGCAAACATTCCCCTTCCCAGCACTGCAGTGTGGGCCAAGTCTCACAGTCTCACTCTGCATTTCATGGCATGCCCTCTCTGGGGCTGTGGAAGCCCCAGGTCCCAGAGCCACAGCACTCCCTGAGCAGCACAGGTTTCATTTAAATGAAAACCTGTGCACCAAGAGAGCCTCAAAGAAGGGCTGGAGGTGAAACCCACGAAGCAAGAAGGGAGCAGCAACACAAAAAGCTTAACGCAGAGGGGAGCACGACTGCATGTTTTTCTAGAATGTGCTGCTTTGAAACGTGACTCCTTACTTGGGGAGTGAGGTGGCAGCAGCACAGCAGCTCAGCTATCTTATCTGCCATCATATCAGTGACACCCCCTTCCCACCCAGCCCGGCTACAGCAGCCAAGTGACACCGTCCTGCTTCCTTCCTGGGAACCCAGCATCTTTTGCTGACAATCACCCTGACAGCTTGGACATTGATTTTCTGCTTTTAATGCTGTCTCTAACGCATCTGCCAAAGAGTTAAGGCAAAATGAGATCTCATGTGTTCAGCTCCTTTTGTTTTATGATTTCCTTAGAGCCTTTGGAGCCATTAAGAAGGGCTGTGAATCTCACTGGCAGTAAGAGCATGCTTTCAGCCTTCTGACTGCTGCCAGCTCAGCGCAGCCTGTCCTACCCCAGCCCCAGCCCCCAGGCAGACCTGCCACTGAACCCTGACACCCCAGTTCTGTGCCAGCTGAGTCCCACTGAGCCACAGCCGCTCCCCTCACTGCCTTCTTTACTTCCCAAGTGGGAAACAAGAAGATGAAACTCCAAGTGCTCATCAAGCACTTTGATTTCATCCCATGGGATGCTCCCAGAAGGCACAAACTCAGCAAGGGTCAGCAGAGGAGAAACTTGGGGCTCAGCTAGCCATTCTTTTTTTACCCCCACAATACACAGCAGGTGGACTGGCTTCATGGACAAAACATTTCCAGGACATGGGTGGGTGATGCTCCCCACAGCATTCATGCTGTAGTTCCCACCTGGTTCTGGGAGCCAGCACTGCTTCAGGTTTGGCTTTTGTAGTGAAATGTTGGCATGTCCAGGTTCATTTAGCCCCATCAGACAGATCTTAAATGTATGAACTCACTTGCTTAAACTGTTACCAAGTAAATGCTTTGTTTCCAGAAGGATTGGCACTATCAGACCTGCTGACCCTGAAGGGGGCTGTGGGCATTGCCTGCCCCACTAGGTTTGACCCTGTGAACCAGAGCACCCAGGAGTTCCAGCCCAGACACCTGCCACTGAACCCTGACACCCCAATTCTGTGCCAGCTGAGTCCCACTGAGCCACAGCCGCTCCCCTCACTGCCTTCTTTACTTCCCAAGTGGGAAACAACAAGATGAAACTCCAAGTGCTCATCAAGCACTTTGATTTCATCCCATGGGATGCTCCCAGAAGGCACAAACTCAGCAAGCGTCAGCAGAGGAGAAACTTGGGGCTCAGCTAGCCATTCTGTTTTTACCCCCACAATACACAGCAGGTGGACTGGCTTCATGGACAAAACATTTCCAGGACATGGGTGGGTGATGCTCCCCACAGCATTCATGCTGTAGTTCCCACCTGGTTCTGGGAGCCAGCACTGCTTCAGGTTTGGCTTTTGTAGTGAAATGTTGGCATGTCCAGGTTCATTTAGCCCCATCAGACAGATCTTAAATGTATGAACTCACTTGCTTAAACTGTTAGCAAGTAAATGCTTTGTTTCCAGAAGGATTGGCACTAGGCAGCCGCCGGCCCCGAGGGCGGCACGGCGAGGCGGGACGGGGCCGGCGGCTGCTCCAGCGCTTTTCCCTTAGGGACAGCCCCCTGCCAGCGAGGCTGTGACGGGAGTTGAGCGGCAGCGGCCTGACGCCTGCAGAAGGCAATAGCTGCGATCGCAAGCGCGGCTTACGGCGCGGGGCTGGGTGTTGGCAGCAGCCCACAGCGGGCGCTGGCATGGGGCAGCGCTCATGCACCGGAGGGTTCGCCCGCTGGGTTAACGCTGCGGGGGCACAACAACAAAGGGCACAAACAAAGCAGAGGGGCACCCCTGGGTCGCAGAACCACCGAATGGTTTGGGTTGGAAGGGACCCTTCCAAGGCTATCTAGTTCAGCTCCTCTGGTGACCGGGGACATCGTGAACTAGGTCAGGTCTCTCAGCCCAGGCCAACCTGGCCTTGAATATTTTCAGAGATGGGGCATCCACCACCTCTCTGTGCCAGTGCCTCTCCACCTTCACTGTAAAACATTTCTTCCTGATCTCTAATCTAAATCTACCCTCTTTTAGTTTAAAACGATTACCCTTGTCCTGCCTGTGTAGAGTGTCCTGTTACAAGAGCTCTGAGAAGAACCAGGGGACCAGGACCTTAAGGAGAACATCTCTGGTTGCATAGGGCTTCAGTCCATGGGAGCATGCCAGAGCCAGGACTGCTGTCATCAGGCTTCAGTCATTTCACATTGTGCCAGCTGGGCTAGTCAGAGGCACAGGGACTGAAACTCTGCTTCAGAGTGCCTTTGGACTATAAAATGAATGAACTCCAGTGGAAAATGAAAGCAAAGCTTTGTGAGCTTCTGTCTTTGGGATATGGTGTCCCACTGTGGTTGCTTTCCAGAGTAACAGTAAACCCCTCAAAGGTTACGCTTGCTTTAGCAACATCAGCACTGCTCTAAGAAGTGAAGAGTAAATCCCCATAAGTCTGTTGTGCTTGTGCTGTAGCACTCCCCTGGCATCAGGCCACTTCCCTTATGGTCTCTGAGCTTGCCTGTGTGATTCTGTAGGGTGCTGAAGATGGCAGGCAGCTCCTCTCCTTGGACTGGCAGTGCTTACCTCTTCCTTCAGTCGACCTGCAAGACCATCGCTCTGCCATCCCTCTACGAGAGCTCCCAGAAGAAGCCTTGTGTGTTCAAGGCCCTGAAGCTGGCATTAGCAGGTACCCATCCCCTGGAATCTTGGTGTGCAGTGCCATGCCTTTCTTTAATCTCACCTTCATGGGCAAGGAGAGCTCATGCTCACTCTGTTTAGGAAAGGCAGCAAAGTAGAGCAAGCTCAGCAGAGGTTCACCAAGATGGATGGGGCTGGAGTACTTTTCGTGTGAGGAGAGGCTGAGGGAGCTGGACCTGTTGAGCCTGGGGAAGAGAAGGTTTCAGGGGACCTACCAACAGCCTGCTGAGAGCTGTGGGAGGGAGAGATGGAGCCACACTGGTTATAGTGCTGCATGGGGAATGAGAGGCAAGAGGCACAAACTGAAATGAGAGGTAGACACCAGATAAAAAGACATTTATTTTCCCCATTAAGACAGGCAGTTGCCCAGAGTGACTGACTCTGTACTCTCCATCCTCAAGGGCTTTCAAATGGGACTGGATAAAGCCCTGAGCAACTGGTTCTGACTTCAGAGCTGACCCTGCTTTGCATAGGACGTTGGGCTAGACACTGCCTGGGCTTCCTTCCAACTTGAACCATCCTATGAATTATCCAACATTATGAATATTTATTTAAACCCATTTATGTAAGAGGGGAAAAGATTGTAATTGCTGTGAAAGAAGATTTAATTGCTGTCTTTATACCACCACAGAAACATGATTCCTGCTTTGAGAAGCTGGTTTTTAAGTCAAGTGATAGCCAGTATAAATTAATTTCTATTCAAATTCTGATATAATTCAAATTCAAATTCTGATATAAACAGACACACATTAGCTTGAGGTGTATGTAACACTATTTACATCAAAAAATTACTTGAGATGCAAATAGCTATGAAACTATAGTTCTCTCTCCACCCTTGCACCAAGCACACTGCAGGGTGTGAACTATAATAATTTGAACAGTTTAACAAACTTACCTAGAAAGACTCTCATGTGTTCTTTACCTGTCACACAGCTGAGACTCTGTTGTTTAATTGGGCTTGTCTAACTCTTCTGCAGTTTCTTCTGGACATGATGCCAAGTCAGTTTATCCAATACAGGCCTGCTCATTTTGCAGCTCATTCAAATACAGGAAACAGGAAGCAGGCAGCCTAACACAGTTGTCCAGTTAGGCTTGATTTATGGCTGCTTTGTGCCACTGGAATGTGAATCTACTCACACATTTAAAGGACAGCTCACAAAACTGAAATCCTACCATGCTTATTCAGACATGAAAAGGTGCGCAGTCCCATCTTTTGAGGCAGCTTTACAGCTCTTCATAAAGGTTTCCATGTCTGTGCAGCTTTCCCTCCACAGCCCTCCTGCTCTATTATGGAAATTTTGTTTAGTAAGCACTCATAAAAAGCAAAGCATGAAGGAAGTGATAAAAAAATCATCCACAGTGAATTAAAATGTCTTTTCTAGGTGCCTAAACCCATGTGTCAGTTACACATGTGGTCCAAACTAGACCAGATGCAAACAGGACTTAGTAAAAATGTAAAGCCACTGTTGGATACTAAATTTTAAATGCAAGGTCACTTGCCCTGGTTAAGGTGGAGCACACAAGTCTGCCTTGCTGTAAGATTGTGCTCCATGCCATGACATGTGGTTTAGGAATACCTGCTGTAGTGCCAGTGTGAGCTGCTGCCTCCACACAGCCCTCAGTGACAGCCCACAAGGTTCAGCCAGGTCTGGAAGCAGTACAGCAGCTTCACATAGGCCTCTGCTGCAAAAAAAGAGAAAAACACATACTTAGAACTCATCAGCAGCATATAAAACCCTGTGAAGATAAGGATAATGAGCACAGCTAATAAAAATTAAATTCTGCTGGGAGAAGGAAGAATGAAGTCCTGGCATTTTCTGTTTCCACATCGCTCATGCTCCTTCTGCATTAATGTCAGAGGGTTCATCCCTGGCTTCTCCTTGTTTAGATTTTACCATGAATTAATTCTCTGTGAAAAATAACAAGTCAAGGCCCAATCTCAAGCAGTTAATCCCTGTGGCTGGATCTGTCATTTGCTGTTTGTGAGATGTGTTAAAGGCTCAGAGAGACAAAAGTTACCTCTAGGCACAGGTGGAGAGGAAACACTGGGTTTCTTTCCAGGACCTCCATCACTGCATAAAACTCCAGCCACAAGGACTGAAGGCCGACTGGCACTGAGGTGAACTGAGCTTTCATCTATAAAACTTTGCTGTGCTACCAGTTTATCATAACCCTCTCTGCCCTGGAAATGGAACCTCAAATTTAAACTTGCCCTAATAAACAGTGTTGATATAATTACCTGGGATGTAGTTCCATACATCTTCAGTTGGACACCATACTTCATGGGGATCAGTGGTGGCAGGGCAGCATGAACTTAATCCTTCCCTCTTGGTTTAGCACACTTCTCTATCCCAGAGGACTTTACACAAAGAGAATTCAAAAGCTCCTCCATTGCAGGCTTGTTGTGGATGGGTGTGGTCTGGGTGGGCTGGCTCATGCCTGGACTGTGACTGTGCTCCCTTGTCCTTGCCAGACTCCACTGGCAGCGTGAATGGTGTGGACATGCTCAAGGTGCACTGCAGCCACCCCCACCTGATAGTGCAGCTGAGGTTCTGCAGGCGGGAGAACTGCCGCCGCTTCCTGCGCAGCTACCGCGAAGGAGCGCTCCAGAAGTCCCTCCAGAGTCACCTCCAGCTCTCCCTGGCCACAACCACGGTGCCTCTGGAAGTGGAGCTGAAGGCTGGCAGTGAGCACCTTGACAAGATGCTGAAGGATGAGGATCGTTGCTTGGAGTGCATCTACAGAGAAAAGGTGAGCGGGAGAGGGAGGGGGCTGGACAGCAGTGAGGAGGGTGGCACTGGGCTTGCAGGGGTGGGTGCAGATCTTGTTCTGATGCAGCATGTCAGGTTAACAAACTTCTCAGTCCTTCAGCTCTTAACTCTAATGTGGAGAAATAGCTCTGCCCTTCCTCAGGAAAGAGCTGTGCACGTTTCTGGAAGGGCAATAGAGTTACCTAAAGCAGCCTGCAAAGATCCTGCTAACTCTCTCTGCCTCCTGTATATAACAGCTAGTGTGGCTGTTAACCCCACTAGGAGTTCTAAACAGTGCAGCTCACACACAAGTGTGCCTCGGTACAGCTGTGAGGCAGGCAGAGAGGAGCAGCCCTAGCTGGAGCCATCACTGCTCTGCACCTGGAAATGAGCAGTGGAAGTGAGTGCAAACACTGCACATCACACCAAAAACTTGTGTCAGAGTGGGCACACACAGCATCTACTGCCAGCAGGAGTAGGCTGCCCTTCTGAAGGCAAAGTCTCTCTCATCTGACATCTGGCTCATTGCATACTTTGGCACTGGCACTCTAATCCTGCTTGCAAGAACAGTGAGATCTACAAGGCACTTGACATGATTAAACTCACTGACTTGTTCCCCTCCTCTCTTTTTTTTCCATCTGGAACTTTAGCTCTGGTTCCTCTAAATGGTTCTGAGAAACAGGCACTCACTTATCAATGTGCACAGGAGCATGTTTTTCCAGGTTGCTTTTCTGTAAGCACAGAGAATAAACTCAAACCTTTCATCTCCAAACCAAACAACATGTGATATCCCATACCCTCTGAACTGTGGCTTGCTGCTCCCTCCCTGTGCTGAACCAGCTGATTGGACAAAAGGAATGGGCTTATTCTCAGTTCCCCAAAAGTGACTCAGTCTGACCCTTTCTGCAGCAGGCAGAAAGATGGCACTGGGGCACAGCCTTCAATAGCTGAGAGCAGGGCTGGGTACCTGCTAAGTGAGCTAAACAGTGTTTACCTCTGATTGAGGCACAGCACTGCCAGGTTTGATTCTTCCCATGTGCTTTGCCTTCTTTATTCCTTTTCTCAGTACCTTATTTTTTGGAGGTCAGACTAATTTTCTCTTGGCTGGTGAAAAAAACTGGCTTGGTGAGGACTCAGGAACAGCAAACCTCAGGGAGCAGCGGGGGCAGAGAAGAGAAAGTGGGTAAAGGAGCTGCCTGCTTGGGTGGCCATGAGCTGTTGGACCAGATCACCCTGTTCTGTGGGTCTCACCCTCATAGGGAGTTGGGAGAAGCTTTGCTGCCTGCAGAGCACTCTAATTCTTTCAGAGGGCTGCTGGAAATGAACACGTGCTAGTAACAGTTTTGTGCAACTTGTAAGCACTCTCTGGTGCAGGTAAAAAACCCAGAGGGGAGAGATTGACTATTTCATATCACATTACAGATTCAAATCCACTTACAGCCATCCTATTACAGCCAGAACCCCACTAGACCACCTCATTTGGCTGGCTGACAGCTCATGCTATATCTCATTGCTTCTCTCTTGACATCAGCAACCACAGCTTTGCAGGCTGGTGGCCCTGGCAGTCACTGCTGCTGTTTGTGTTACAGCCTGACCGCCTGCCGGATGAGGAGATCACGGAGCTGGAGGAATGCCTCAAGAGCCTGATGCTGCACCAGAGCACTAACAACAATGTGGCTGGAAAAGACTGCTCATCTCTGAAGTCCCCATCTCAGCCTTGTCCTCCTCAAGGCAGCTCCCTTCCCACGCAGTTCACCTTCATCTTTCAGGGACAGCAGTTTGGTGAGTAGCTAGAGCTGACCAGCAGAGCCCTTGGTCTGCCTCACAGCCCAGGAGGGAGAGTTATGACTACATATGGGGGTCTGCCTCAGATAAACCAAAGATTTCCCAGCATCCCATAAGAAAGGAATTACAATAGTCCTGAGATATTGTTGTGATGCTTCAGATCAGGCATCAACCTGTTTTCTTTTCCAGGGTGGCACAGAACCAGATGTTTCAGAGTCTGTGTCTCTTCCAGGTTCCTCACATTTTAAAATTAATAGTGAAAGGAAGAATAGAGAGTATTTTTATCTTCTTCCATATCACTTGGTTGAGGTGAGTGAATAGTGTAGATTAGATCAGACTGGGGAAGGTACTGTGGAAACCCTCAGCCCTGCTTTCAGACTGGACTGATTTGTCCAGGCTGCCTCAGTTCACCAGCTTTGGGGTCTGCCTGTCCCTACAGAGAGCTTTCAGAGAGTCTCAGTAGCAGTATCAGCTTGAGATAAGCTAGATAATTTCTGAGCTTGCTTAAGCTGTGTATAGTCTCCAGTGCTAAACAGCTGAGGAGAGAGCTCCTGTCAGCATTTCAGTGTTTTGAGGATGTTTAGGTAGGGAACAGGGGACTTTGTCAAAAAGACCTTACCAAGTTGCCTTTGAAAGGCTAAAACAAGTTAAGAGGATGTCAAAAAAAAGCAAAAAAAACCAACAAAACCAAAAAAAAAAACAAAAAAAAAAAAAAACCCCCCCAAAAAAAAAAAAAAAAAAACCAAACAAAAAAAAAACCACACCAAAAAAACAAAAACGAAAAAACCCCCAAAAGAGCTCTGGCAAATCACAGGACAGTTCTGAGGGAGAAAAAAAGAAAATAGGCCTTGCCAAGCTTGCAGGGTAGGGACAAGCCCAGATGCTTTGTTGTTGTGGGAGGATTTCTGTAAGGGAACAGCTGGGAGGGAGCTCAGACTCTGCTCCACAGAATACTGACCAAACCTTGAACTGCCCAAGCTGCATCACATCAGCCATGAAACTTCTGTGCCTTACGTGGCCTCTGCCCCTTTCAGACAACAGAACAATCACACCAGACGACCACCAGAAGTTTGCCAAGTCCGTGTCCAAGAAGTGGAAGCAAGTGGGTCGCTCCCTGCAGAAGTCCTGCCGGGCCCTGCGTGACCCTGTCATCGACAACCTGGCGCTGGAGTACGACCGCGAGGGACTCTATGAACAGGCCTACCAGATGCTGCTCAGGTTCATCCAGTCTGAGGGCAAGAAGGCCACCATAGCACGGCTGATTGCAGCCCTGGAGGAAAACGGGCTCGTCAGCTTGGCTGAGGAGCTCCTGGGCCTCCACTCCAGTGAGGACTGCTCCTAGAGCCCAGGGGACAGTGCCATTGCTAAGGGCTTTCCTGCTTTAGCTACTGTATGAAACTGCTGCCAGTGTCTGGGAATGTAATGTCCTGAATATCACCCAGAGGTTTCCGTCGAGGTGGAAATGCTCAGGGGAGAGGTTCTGTGTTTGCATGGACCTCTGACTTGCCTTATTTCACTGTGTTTCCAGAAATACAGCACTACCTTCCCGTGAGCTGGTGAGAGGCTTTCACCCTGACTTCCTTCAGGGCTGTGGCAGGGGAGCAGCCAGACAGAGAGCCCAAGGGGAGAATGAGGGAGAGGAGAAAAGCAAGCAAGTCTTCTCATAGGATTTCTCTGGGAAGCAGAGAATGCCACTGCTTCTCAGGCTGTCTCCAGGGCCATCACCTGGCGAGCTGCAATATATTTTTACATTGAAAACATTTTTGCCCTCAGCCATGACATCAAGTAAAGAAAAAGGAGAAAGTAAGGAAGTGTCAATTTTACGTTATTTTCCTTCTTTGTTTGAAAAACATCATGGCAAGAGTATCTGTTCTGCCCTGCTCTGTTGTAGCTCCTTCCCACCTCTCACCACCTGAAGGCTTTTCTTCTACTTGGGACAGCCGTAGTCTTCCACAGGACAGAAGATCGCTGCTGTACAACAAATGGCAGACACTGAACAAACAGTATGGACAAACTCAAATTCAGACAATGATTGTCAACATTTTCTCATCTGTGGCAGACAGTGATGTGTTGATTGGCTCTTGCCTGCCAGCCTGAGGGAGCCTGTAGCTGTGGAAGGCAAAACACAGTGCTGGAAGGAAAAGAGTCTCCTCATCAGCAAGTTACCTGTGGAGCCTGGTTTGGAACTGCTGCTCTCAGGGCATTGCAGCATCAAAAGCCATCCTCAGCCCACAGAGCTGAGCAATCACCACACCCAGCTGGCTGCTCCTGCCCTCCCTCATGTTTCAGCCTGCTGGGCCCCTGGAGGGGACAGCTGACCCTGCTGTGTCCCACAGGTGTCAGGACCCACAGAGAGCCTTTCTCTGGTACTGCTGTCACTGTGTGACAATCAAACATCACCTGCCACCGTGCCTGGATTTACCTGCACTGATTTTCAGGGTAAAAATGGTTTAAGAGACAAATCTCCCAAACCCCAGGGCTGACTCCTACTTTCAGTTCCTGTGGGAGAAGCTGAGTGTCTCCTGGTATGGCTGAGGCAGCCTGCAACACAGCAGCTGCACTTCTGCTGTGACAAAGCACAGACCAATGAGTGTCTGGCATGACACAGGTCCTGTGAAGCACAACAGCAGCTCAGTTACCTTTGACGTATTCCCAGTGCTTTCCTGATAGGTTTTTACTAATACTTTTCCATTAATTCTATCCTTTTTTCCCCTTCCCATCTGTGGGAATGGCCAGTGGGCCATGGGAATGTTTTCAGGTGCAGAGGAGGACTCTGGCCACACACACAATGTCTGTGTGCACATGACAATATTGGGCTGCTAGAAGTCATGGTAGGAACAACTTTGAGGCCTTTTAAACCACAGCTCACATCTTACTCCTTCCCTGGAGTCAAAGCTGTAAATTACTAAGGAGGAACATAACCTCAGATTATGTGGGCTCAGATCCAAGCTTCTGGAGCTGGAGATGTTCCTGTACCTTCTCCTGCAACAACTGAGCTTCAGTCACTGGAGACCTGGATGGGCAGGACTTAGATGGGCTGCTTTGAGCCAGCTGGGGTCCACATGCCTCAGATGGGCTGAGTTCACATCCTTAGTGTAAGCCAGGGAAACATGACTTGTTTGCTGCAGATTTTGAACCCCCAAGGTTGCATACAGAACCAGGAAAGGAAGGGGGTTACATATGAGGAGAAGGTTTTCAGGATGTGAATGAATCTGCTTCCATCTTGCCCCTACCTTCCAAGGAAGCAGGATTTCATCTCTGCAGACTGTGGCTCCATCACCTTTTATTAAGCCATTTTATATCAGTTTAATCCCCTCCATTCCTGCTCACACATCCTACCCTCTCCCTTCCAGTAGTACCAGTGCTCTTCCCAAAATGAAGCAATTACCTCTCTGACAGTTTTGCTTTTGGGACTGACACAGTGGTGCTGATCTTAGCTAATTTAGGCTGCTGTGGATCCATACCTCAAAGTATTTAGCTTTCCTGCCAAATCCCACCTGGGGAACTCTGTTTGGCAGAAACCCACCTGACAAATCATATTTTAAAAAAATTTAAAAATCAGAAACTTGAAAGTTACTTTAAGAGCAAGAGAGTTTGCTCTTGATTTTGCAGAAATTACTTTTTTAAGAAAAGAAGGTCATATGCATAGCCTGCTGTCTCATTTGCAATTAATTTTTCTAAGCTCTCAGACTAGCTCTATGTGCACAACTTGCACATATAGTCATAAGGCAGCCACTGAGTATGAGAATTACTAGTTTTTGTAGCATCTGTTAATGCTCAAATGACAAAGTCTTATTATTCAGCATCTACTTCAAGTCCAGAAAACTTTTTTACTGCTGTTACTGTTTTACAGAGGACTAACCATGAATGCTTTCTTCTGAATGTAAATGTTTTCTTTCTGCCAGTAACTGGCATGTGTATTTCCTCTTACTCACATATTCCCAGTTAGAATTCCCTGTCAGAAGTGCCATTAAGTGCTGGAGCCCCTGGCAACCTTTCTGGAATGTCTTAATCTCCAGCAACATTCACAGGTGCCTTCATTGCAAAGACTTGAAGGAAAAAGGTTTTTCAGTAATATTCCATGGTGAAATTGTCTCAAGTGCATGGCATGGTTTGGGACATAGCAGTGGCTGTTTCTTACCTCCTTTTCCAGGAGCAATCATCATCATGGTGGGAGATAAGCCATGGACAGTGCTGCTGCTGGAGAAATTTGCCTTATCCCAGTGACTGCTCTTCTCCATATACTGAGATATATCTGTGAAAAAGAAAAATTCAGGGGTGATGCTAGTGTTCCAGAATCAAACACAATACTAAAAGCAAATGAAGGTGCTAATCAGTTGCATATAAAATCTAAAACAGAAAAAAAACCCCCATAGAACAAGCAGCAGGAATCAGGCCAAAATGTGCTTACAGGAAGAGATCCAAGAGGGCTTTTTTTTCTGGTACTGATTGTTTTTGTAGTTTTAACCATGTTTCAGATTTGAAGGAGTCTCCATTCAGTCTGCCAGAAGGGATAAAAGATCCATCCAAAGGAGAATTTGAATTATTTGTTTTGGCATAGCTGACCTACAGTGTTCAAACAGATGATAACAAAGAGGAGAGTGAGGTTAAAATGCTCACCAGACATACTTTGACATGAGCCATCTGACAGAAGCAAACCTGACAGGATACCCTGATACAAGATTGTCTGAAAGGAAAAAATCTGTTTATTTTGCCTTCCATTCAAAGGCAGGTGCAGCACTGAGGATCTGTCCTGCTGTCTGGGTCACTGTCTCTCTGCTGTTCCCAAGGAACCACACCCTGGCAGCTGCCCAGACTCTGAAACCAGGAGAGAGCATGGGCAGAATGAGGAGCCTCAAATTCACTTAAGTTGCTGATAAACTGAAAATTCTGGTGAACCTCTGGTACTGTATCTGATATCCTTAAACCAAGGAGGCACAAGAAGAGGGATCAGAGGGTTTGTGAGCCTGTGTGCATGACACTGGTGCTTTACACTGGACAGGGGTCTGGCCATGTGGCTTTGTATGGAGATGAACTCAAACAATGAAGCAATTTAAGGCCTAGAGTCAAAAAATATGTATTTTTTTTCTTCTCTGGCTTGTATTTTAAACCCCCTGAAGGGAGCTGGCTGTACATCTCTAATAGAATCCTGGTTGAGATGTTTGGTTAATGTCTCTTAGTTTTCAGTGGAAAAATCCCTTGCTGACCATCTGATTCCAAATTCCCATGATATTCAGTATCAGATCTGGACCAGCCACCTACAGCTATGGACTGCAATGCCAGACATACTTGGGTCTAGGACATTCAGCCCCCAAGGAATTGTATTTTACAGAAAAAGCTCTTTGGTATATATTTTTTCCCCATTCTTTTTTATAAATAAAGATATACTTTTGATGAAAACTGCCTCAGAGACTTTCACTGAACACTTAACTGCAGTAGTAAGAGCAGGGGTCACTGAAGTTCTGCCCACATTTGGTGGTCACCAGCTCCAGAGGAGCATCCAGCCTGAGGGTGGATGCCCAGCAGGGCTCTGCCCAGTCACACATTTCTCCTGACGTACCAAGGCTGGTGTCCCACCTGTGGGAACAGCTCTGATTACAAAACCAAGCCAAGCCTCTGTGTTTGTTCACTTTCCAGTCACTGCTCTGACGAGCCTTTTTCAGCCAGCATGGCCAGAAGGGGAGGTTTGTCCCAGCCCTGGCACCTGGAGGAGCTCACTGTGTTTCTTTCAGTGCTGTTGGATATCTGGGACTCCTCTCTAATCTCAAGTGCCTCACTGCCAGGGAGCTCTCTCACAAGGCTGCCCCACAGGTGGGGAGCCAAGGAGCTGGGATATAAAATCTCCAGCAGCTTAGCACAGGAAGCCACTGCCTGACCTGACAGCTGAATCCAGGGAAACTCCTTTTGCCATGAACTGGAGCAGAGATGTGTTTTACCCTGAGTCTCTTAAGTCTCAAACACTGTTTGACAATCACAAGATCAGCCCTTCTTTATCTACCACAAAGCTGAATTCCCAACTGCATGGCATGATGCCTGCAGGAGCACAGTGAGGGGAGCAGCCCTGCCCTGCAGCAGCTGGCAGGACACACCACCCTGGGGTCACCAGGGCTGCCCTGCTGAGGAGGCTCAGTGAGATCACTGCCCCAGTCCTCTACGACAGTGACAAGCACAGGATGGACCAAGGGCACCTTTGCTGGCAGTGAGAAGAATAAACCAGCCACGGATCAGTGCCCAGGGAACAAGCTCCACGTGAGACAGACACCAAGGAGAAGCACCCATGGAGAAACTCCTCCACCTCCAGGCTCCCTGTGTGACTCCCCAAGGCACAACAGGGAGAGCTGGAGCTGAGTGATGTTTTTGGCTGTGATTTCTGATCAGCTGGGCTGGTCAGCAGCACCCACTGTGGCTCAGGCAGCTGCCAGCCACGAGGAAAGGACCTTCCCAGCCTGCAGCACCTGAGTGCAGGGTCTGAGGGTGGCCATCGAGAACCCACTCTGCATGAGACAGTGTGTTCAGTAAGGCACAACATTTGAGCTGAAATAAAAAATGCATCAAATAAAGCACAGATGCTTACCAAGAGGGGTTTTTATATTATGTTTTAAAAACAGGTATTTGTGAAAACAGCAGAGTAGATCAAAACCCGCTTTTATGACAAGTAAATGAAAACTTTCCTTTCTAAAGTGACAGTGGTCTGGGCACTCTCCAGACACTTGACCTCTGTTGGAGGAATAAGGGAGAGACAAAGCAGAGACAAAGAATCAGCCACAGGGGAGGGAAGTGCTATGGCTGCGCTCACCTGGCAGATCAGTGGTGGTGGCACACAGATTAGATTTGGCTCCAAATAAAAACTGCTTTGAAGTATTTCAAATTAAAAAAAAAAAAAAAGAGAGGGGGGGAGAAAAAAAAAGGGGGGAAAAAAAAAGGAAAAACCCCCCCCCCCCCAAAAAAAAAAAAAAAAAAAAAAAACCTAGGTTTGGGGGTATTTTTGTTCCAGGTTTTCAAAGGGACCCTTGAATCTGTCTTCAGCCTCTGTACTGCTCAGCTCACACGTCCTCCCAACATTTCCCTGTTAGGAAAGAGAGAAACAACCCCCAACTGGATTTAACTTCTGAGCTGAACCCAGCCTCTATTTTTCAATTAGACTCTTTGTAAACACTCACGAGGGAATTAAACGAAAAAAAGCCAAAGTATAGAAGGAAAAGAAAAAGATACTCAGAAAAATTAGTATATTTCATTTGGAAAAAAAGTTACCGGGGGGCGGGCGGCAAAGAAAAATCCAGGCTTTTTGCAGAATTGGTGCAAGTCCCCAAGCTGGCCGAGCGCTCTCTCGGCACCTCCGCCCGTCCCGCCGGAGCCATCGGCGCTCCCGGCCCCATCACGTGCCGGGGCCGGCCGGGACGCGGCTCTTCCCGGCCCGCCGGGCTCCCCTCCGCGGAGCTGGGCTCTGCTGGGGCCGCCCCATCCCGGCCCCGATCCGAGTCCCGATCCCGGCCCCACAGCCCCGATCCCAGCCCCGATCCCAACCCTGCAGCTCCGCTCCCGGCCCCATCCCAGCCCCACAGCCCCGATCCCGGCCCCATCCCAGCCCCGATCCGAGTCCTTATCCGGGAGCCCCGCTCCCATCTCCAATCCCAGCCCCATCCCAGCCCCGCTCCCGGCCCCATCCCGGCCCGCTCCGCTCGCTGCCGGAGCGGAGCGGCCCCGCTCCGCCGCGCTGCTCGGCGCCCCCGGGCTGTGCTGGGCTGTGCTGGGCTGTGCTGGGCTGTGCTGGGCTGTGCTGGGCTGTGCTGTGCTTGGCCGGCAGGCTGAGCAATGCCTCCTCTCGCTCGCCGCCTCCAGCTGTGCCTGCTGGCAGCGGCTGCACTGCCGGCACCGAGCGGACGCGGGATCGGCGCTGTCGCAGGGGCTGTGAGTATCTGTTCGTGTGCTTGATCTCGGTGGGATGGGGAGGGTTGTGCAGCGGGCAGGGCGCACTGGAGCCTGTCCTGACTGCTTTTCTTTTTGCCGCTCTCGAATGTTGCTCCATGGGCAGCCTGGACGCGGTGGTTTGCACGCAGCAGGGCCGGCTGCAGGCTCCAGCCCTGAGACATCTGCTGTACACTGTGCTTTCCAAAGAACTTTCTTAGAATGTGTAGGTTGTTTTTACAGAATTGCAGGCCTTCTTTAGACAATGCCTGCAGTGCTCTGGGACAGGGTTTCCTCCCAGCCACAAACATGTTCCAGTGGTGGCACGTCACATTTATCATTTACGAGCCATTCCTCATCAGTACAAGGACATGAATCTCCCCCTTGTTACACTGTGGTATGCTTTGAGCAAAACACAGGAGTTTTCAAGCTCTAGTGTCACAAAGATAGAAAATAATTTAGCCCCTGTGAAACAGGCAGTTACTGATTATTTTTTAATAGCTTTTTGGCAGTTTCTGAGAAACTTGTGTTGGGTATAATATTGAAATTCGTGGAGCACATCAGCATGTACTTGCCACCCCATCTCCCATGGATGTAACAATACATCCACGCTGCTGCACAGCAGTTTCTTGGGCTTGGGGTGCATTGGGCAAATGATTTATCAGAAGAGGGTCTGGGAGCTGAAGAGGTGGTGAGCACTGCAGCCTGGGGGGGCTGTGAAACGAAGGTGTTTGTTTCAGTTTCTTACCCCTTCACAAACCTGCAAGGCTTTATTCCCCTGCTGGGCCCAGAAAAATTAATGTTTGGAAGAGAGACAGCAAGCTCCTCGCCTTGGCTGCCTGGGACAGACCTGTCTCCCCAAAGCACTCAGGGTGTGAGTTGGGCTGCTGAGCCCTCTGCCATCCTGAAAATCAGACTACCAAAGCAAGGCTGCACCTGAAGGTGGGACAGTACCTCTGGAGGCTGCTGAGCCTGCAGAAGATTGTTGGGCTTTACCTTCTCCTACCTTGCAGGCAGCTGAGCCCTCCTTAGAGCTGTGGGGCTGGAGTTTCCCAGGTTCCTGGGGCTCAGCCTGGGTGCCTGGCACAGCTCAGTGCTGCAGGGGCACTGTCCCCTGCCCGGGGAGGGACTGAGAGCAGCACGCTCTGCCTAAATGAGCTGCAGCCTCCAAAGTGTGCCACGTGTGCCTGAGTGCTCACCTGGGCCAGGGCAGCAGGGTGCTGGCCCCTGAGTGCTCACCTGGGCCAGGGCAGCAGGGTGCTGACCCCTGAGTCACTTACAGGGCCAGGGCAGCAGGGTGCTGGCCCCTGAGTCACTTACAGGGCCAGGGCAGCAGGGTGCTGGCATTCACCTTC